CGGCAGGCAGCACTTGGAGGTGCCATTGCTATCCTTATTGCCATCACCACCGTAATTATCAGTGACCCAGGGCTATGATGCTGAGCTCTCCCACCTCAGGTATGGGGCTGCTCCTACAGGTAGACACACAAAACAGAGATCTGGACAAGATAACCTCTGCTGAGAAACAGTGAGACTCTATAAAGTATGAATTGGTAGAAAACGCACTGGCAACTCTAAACATTATCTTTTTAAAAAATTATACACAATGTCTAAATTATAGATGTTGCATGGAGGTCCGTTTCCTTGGCAGATTTCATTTCCATACCATCTTTATGCCACTGACTCCCAACGTTAAGCCCCCTGACTCAGCCCCCTTCCTAACTTGGGGCTCATGTTCACAACTGCCTACTCAGCATCACCAATGGGCATAACTTTTCAACAATTCACATGTCCAACACTAGCCCTCACCTCCCTCCAAGGCCAGCTTCATCCATGTTCTCCACTGTGATTCATGGCAACTCCGCCTGCAGATGCTCCAAATCTCAAATTATAGTCACTCCCCGAGGGTTTCCCTCCCAGCCTACCTACAGCCTCAGTGAATCCTATCTAACATGTGTAGAATCACAGTGGTTCTCACCACTGTCTCCACCAGGCTCCCTGTCCCTCACCTGCCCCATGTGTCCACAGTCATTCTCTGTAGCACGAGGCCGGTGGGTCACTCCACTCAGAACCTCTAGGAGCTCCCCATTCACTCAAAGGCAGTCTCACTGCTGACGATGGCCTGCATGTCCCTCTATGACCAGCCAGAGCCTGGAGCAGGGATTCACCAGTCACATGCCCACACTCCTCTCATGCCTCCTGACTATCCCAGGCACCGCGCCCCTGCCGGACCCAACCTGCAGCTCTTTCTCTGCCAGCTCCCCAACCCTGCTTCCTTGCCACAGTTAACTAATTATATTTATTCAATGTCCTCTTCCCCTGGCACAATGTGAGCTCCACAAACATGGAGATGTTTCATTCATAAGTCTATGTGTGCCAGGGACAGTAACTGGCACCTAGAAGGCCCAAATGCCATAAATGACTGAGTCAATGAATGAACGAAGGAGCCTGATGGGTCAACAGTGAGACCTCCCTTGGCCACTTCATTTAAATAGGAGGATCGGACCACACAAGAATTCCATCTGTCCAGGTTGCTTTTTTCTCCATAGCCCTTATCATCTTCTCACATCTGATGTTCTGCATAATTTACTATAACAATGACTGAATTAATGAGCATATTTAGGACCCAGCATTAAACTGAAGAACTTAACTCTCTCACACACGATGTAGATTCATAAAAAATGGCCACAAAGCAAGTCTCAACAAACTCAAAAGCTTAGTCACTCCCAACCATAATATAGTAAACTGTAATTCAATAGCAAATAGATTACTTGAAAAACTTCATACCTTCAGATAAAAAAAACACTTCTAAATATCTCATTTAAAAAAAAAAAAAGGAACCATCAAACAGAACCCACTGCTGGAAGGCTTCAGAAACAGGGACCTTTCCCAAAAAGATGACATTTTAACCTCCTAGATGGCAGGTTGTGGGTGTGACCGAAATGTTAGTACAACCACAGAAAATGAAAATCGTCTCAATTGGATAATACCAAGAGAACAGAGACAAGAGTTAACATTTCACCCTACTCCTAGCTGGACACATTTAGACTTTGTTTCCAGGGTCCTGCTTCCAGGGACATTTCATGCACACCCCATAGCCCTAAAGTGTAGGACACAACACTTCATTAGTTGCTGCTAATGAAAAAAGGAATAAAAAGAAAAAGCGCACTTTCCCCGCAATTGGTGTCACAGTGATGCACATTCCCGGGCACATGCTGTCCACTGGGGGCACTTGTAAGGCACAAACAAAACAGAATTCAAAACAGGATGTTGAAAAAACATCCTTTCCCCCCCCTAATAATCACGTATGTCCCAAGAGGACGTGAAAGGACCTTTGGGTCAGACCTTAGGGTCACTGCCAGAAGGCAAATATTCACTTCACAACCATGCTGAGGTCACCACCCCTCAGCTAAGGACAGGAGCCTGGGGTGTGAGCTGGTGGCGCCCAGCAAACACACCTATCCCCGCCACCTGCAGTCACCTTGGCATCTTCGCTGGTCCATCAACCAGGAGGGCAGCGATCAGGAGGAAGACTGCGGTGGGCCAGGTGTCACGTCCAGGTAGTGTGTGACGCCCTGTACCTGGACAGCAGACACAAGGGGGTTTCTGCTTGTAGGTACAGCTACATTTACTATTCAGTAGGTTCAGGTGCTTGACTAAAGCAGCACGCCTGTAACTTCACAGAACAGAGCAGTGAAAGAGAACAAAGTGGTGGAAGCCTCCAGAGGGGCTCTCAACAAAACTCTAAGCACTATATAGTTGCTGGGCCTCCCTGCACTGCAGTGTTTGCTTCGTTTTAAATAGGGAGTCCTAGGTGTCATCACAAAGGCTTCGGGGCTGGCGAAGGGAAGCGGGGAGAGACAGTCACACTGGAGAAAGCAGCAGAGCCAGCAGCTGGGGTGGGCAGACCAGAGGGCACCAGAAACACAAGAGGGGAAAGCTTTGCACAGCCATGGACATCTGCTTTGTTTCCTGGTCACCTGAGGCCTCTGCCAGGCTGAGCAGCCACCAGATGCTAGAGAGGCACCCAGGCTCAGAGGACAGGCCACCTGCTGAAAGCCATGTAACCAATTAGAGGCAGGTGGACCGTGCTTCCCCAGGTCTGTTGGCTCCCTGGCATTGCCACAGCTCAGCTAGGCCCAAGCCTGACCCTTCACTCACAGACCAAGGGTGGGGTGTAGAGGGCGGAAATAGAGTATTCCCCAATGGAGCTAGGAGGGGAGAAATGGGGCAGAAAGATATAGTCTATCTTTGTGCCACAGGAGAGAGACTGCTCCTGGCACCACAGCGCTTCCAGAAACAGCAACTGCCCATAGGAACTCTCAATCAGGAAGAGCTGAACAAGGGGTGTTTGGCATGTGTAAGCTGGAAAGGTCACACCTTTTACAGACCCTGAGTGGGGATGAACCTTCAAAGGTGAGGGCAAATTGGGATCTGAGGGTTCCTCAGCACCACACCCAATGAACAGGCAGCAGTCGAGCAGCGTCTTCTGGTCTAGAGCTGTTCCTGCCTATAAGTTCACCTGTTCCCCAAAGTGAATGAAGCATTTCCAAAAACTCATGAACAGACAAAAATTCAGGCAGTCCTCGGGTTACTTTGGACTCAATGTACACCGTTTTGTTGTTACGTCACTATCTCCTACGTATTTATTTTTTTTAAAGTTCCTTCATTTTGACATATGTATATAGGTGCTTTACTATTTTTATTATTTATTGTATTTACCACAAGTAAAGGTCAGGAATTGTTATCTTTTTTATAGATTTTTTTTTACTGTTTCACTTCTTTACTTCTGTGTATGTGTTCCATCTGAGTGAAGTAGGTACTTATGTAGGTGGGTTCCGACTTACGGCAAAAAGTGTAGGAACGGATCTCCAATGTAACCTGAAGACCTACAGTATAATTACACTCGGGTTTTACAGTATATGCGCTACACACTCATAATCCAGTCTTTAAGTCACAGCTGCTCACAGATCCCCTCCGGCAAACTTAGTAGAGGGAAGGGGAACATTCTCACCATTCATTTAAGTAAATCAAACTGTATGAGCTGTTTTCCAGTTTTTCAGATGGCTAGATTTTACTTTGATATCTTTTTGTTCTATGTTTCATTTTTACTCCAAAATTTAAAACAAATAAGCAAATAGGAAAGCACCACAGATAACCTGTCACCCTGATGCACATGCTCCTTTAGTCTGCAGACATGTACTGTGTGTCCACCTCGCCTGCAAGCCTCCTACTGTGTGCCCAAATGCCATCACTGTATGAAGCTCTTACTGAGTGATAGTTCCTTCAACTAGAAGAAAATGACACCTCAGGGAGTCAAGCCTGGCACTAAAACAAGGAAATCAGAGAGAGTTCTCTCCTTCCCACCACCCTGTTACTTCAGCAGGAGAAGCCATTAGGAGCCACCAAAGGTGGCCATTAATCCTCTATTGTGCCCCATCCAGAACTCAGGAGTAGCAAGTGAGAAGCTTTCCACCTAAGGCTCTGTCCCCAGGACATCTGTTTACTGGGTAAATTAATTACTTCTAGGGCCAATGGAGGAAGGTTGTCCAAGCTTTCCCTGAGGCCACAGATCTCCTATCTGGACCTATGTGCAGGCTCCTCAGCAAACCAAACAATAGTAAAACGTGCCTGGGAGGCTCCTGAAGCCAGCTAACCTCAAATAGTTCCTGTTCAAAAACTCAACAGGAATGTCAAGAAATTCAATAACCCCTTTGACAGAGTGGTGGTCAAATATCCTATAAGATTTGGGAATCCAGGGCTAAAACCTCACTTTTTAAAAATTAGTTTGGATAAGTTCTCTAGAGTTTCTGTAGTTTCTTTAAATTTCCAGGATTTTCTTTTAAAAATTCCACCTTTGTTATAGAACTTAAACAGAAACCTTTTGAACTCTGACTAGAGCAGGAGTTAGTGGGAACATGTGTGAAGGGCACTGGACTTCCATGTTGGACCTGAGCAACCTGCACAAGATACTCTTCTCTGGTACAGCCCATCCAAGAGTCAGCCACCACGTCCCCTACTGGTGCTAAGGCTCAGACCATGTTCTAAGGCTGTCTTTCCCCAGAAGCACACCTGGAAAGCAGAGATGGGTCCCTCCCCCATACTTTATATGCTTGAAAGGAGCCCGCCTTCCTTCCAGCAAAGCTGCTGTAAGGATCAGTGAAAGGATGGATGAAACCTCCATTCTGCTGTCTGGTTACAGCAGCACCTCTGGTATGCATCCTGCTGCCATTGAGGCTCTGTTCTTCTCCACAGTGTCCTGGACAGCCCAGCCTCCTTCTGGAACCCCTCACTCAATCAGACTGGTGAGTGTCTACACTGTCTCAAGCTTGTCTCCCCGTTCTAAAAACCAACATCCGAGCCTTTGTGTTGCCCATTCACTTTTGGAAACTAGTGAATGTGGTGTCAAAAAAGGCGCAAACTACACACTTTACAGCCCTTTTCCTGCCCTTGAACTTGATGTCTTTGGTGGAAGAGTTGTGTAAGTATGTAACAGTTTATACTTTAATTTGTTTGCACGTTGTTTTGCCAGCATGAAGTGTAGAGTTTCTCATAACCAGTTTTTTTGTTTGTTTGTTTTTTACTAATTTTTGTTTAGGAAAAAAAAACAACATCCAACACATTCAGTATAATGTCTCTTTTTTATGATAAACATGGTTACTTTTATAATTAAGAAAAAAAGTATTTTACTTAAAAAAATTATAATTCAGAAACAAATGACTTAACTATTTTTAAGTCCCCTATAATCCCAGCACATGACACAGGTGGCATGTAATCCCGAACATGTCAGCTCTCCTAGGTAACCATCTTTCACCTTCTCCTGTCCCCAACCTCAGCATCTCTCCCCACCTAACTCTGAGCTGATGACCTGGCATCCACAGGACACCCACCCAGCCACCAAGTCTGTGTCCCAAGTCCCCACTGGGAAGGAAGACAACGAACGACCTCAGGGAAGGGAGTAGCCTTGCCCATTGGCATGCTATTCACTTCTTCAAAACCCAGAAAATAGATGCTATCTTAAAAGTAATAATAATCGGGTATTTGTTATAATACAGTTGTACACACAGGATTATATATTTTCCCTCTTTTATGATAGCACTATTTTATAATTAAAAAGTTTAATAAAACAAGAAAAAAGAGCAATAAAATGGGTATTCACGCATAAGAAGTTAAGGAGAAGGGGAAGAATGAGATTTAAACCCTCCGCCCAAAATGAAGTTTAAGGTCTGTCTCCACACGAAGCAGGAGTTGGCCTCACATCAGATCTCAGCCACAGGACTGCTTCCCAAACCAGAAGGTCCATTTGAAGCCCATCTCTTCCTGCTCACGCAAACATGACCCACACTTACCACCTTCTCACGGTCTGTACAGCCACTGAAAATCTCTTCCTCCACCCCACACCTGGTGGGCACCAGGAAGTTGTCTCAAAATGCCCAAGTGCACAAGGACTCCGTGTTTAAACAAAGGAAACACAGAGAGTGGGAATCGGCAAGCATCTTCATCAGCCATCTGAAAGTAACCCCCACCCCAGGTCCTGAGGTAAAAAGTACACTGCTTGGTAGGTGGGAAGGATATACATGACAATGTAGAAGAGAGGAGGCCAGCAACTCCGCAGGGCCCGAGCACTGTGCCCTGGAACAAGCGCCTTCCAGGAGCACTGCAGAGAAACAGCCTAGGTCTGTGCTTGAGGAAAGGCCAACAGCAATTTTTGGCAGACCTCAGCATCATCCTGCACAGAAAGAAACCTCCCCTTTGACACTTGCAGCCTTGTTGCAAGCTTTATCTTCTTTTTCAGGGGCCTGGGAAAGGTGAGGCCATGAATGTGTGGATCTGATGGGGACCATGGGCCAAAGAAGGGTCTGCCACCTCCCTGTCCCAGCCAGCCCTGCTCACAGAGGGAGTGTACAGAGGGGCCACAGGAAGCCTGGGTCCAGGAGGAGCCACAGAGCAAAAACCACAGACACAGAGGCCTTCAGGACACGGTGAGGGCAAGGGTCCAGCAGCACTGCCCTCAAAGCCCTGGCGGAACATGTACATGACCAAGCGACAATAGCTCACTCACACGCCAGGACTTCAGTAGGTTAGTTTTCTTTTCAGTAAGGCCAAGCGGCCTGTGAAGGACAAACAGTACCCACTCTGAGCTGAAACTCTGCAGGACATCACACGGGGAGAAATGTTTTACAGAAAAAGGAAAGAAAAAATTTCCACGGCCATGTAAACTTAGGAAACTTTGCTAAAAGCATACAATTTAGAAATATCATATATGGACTGAAAGATTTATAATCACAGTTGAAGCTTTTTTGTTTAAAAAAAAAATCAAAAGCGCTTAGGAAACAATGTCATGGACTCAGTTCACCTCTAGAAAGGCTGGGGCCATGGTCAAAGTGTCACCGCCAATGGCCCTGTGGCCTGACCTGGCGTGCAACTTCTGGCCCCAGCTCCAGCTCGGACACAGCCTCTGGCACTGCATCAGAGAGGATGGCTCATCTCTGCCACGGATAAGATCCAGTCAGTGCCCATTTCATTCCCAAGACAGGCAGCCTATTTTACGCCAGAAAAAGGTCCCCCATCTTCATGGAGCTGGTAATTCCACTCCTTTCTCTCGGTGCCCTCCCAAGAAAGTGGAGCCTTGGAATAGCCTTCAGATGAGCCGAGCCTCAGGACTGAGAGTGCTGACTTACCAGTGCTGGACATGTGGTTCACACGGGCTGGGTTTAGCAGCTCCACGGGTTGGTCTCGGCCAGAAAGTCCATCTACAGGATAGAGAAAGTGTTTGGTTTCAGAAACTGCTTGAATTTCAATGAGAACACTTTACATTCAGAACCTCCACGAAGCAAATCCTTGAAAACAATGATAAAGTATGTGTCCTTCTTACTTTAAAGATGATAGATTTAATTCCATCATGGGTCGTTTTTATTTGCTGAATCAGAAAATAAAAGACCCTTGGTAGAATAACCAAAACAGACCCCAAGAGGAGTTCCCAAACTGGCAAACACCAATTTCTGGCCAAAAATCTGGCTTAGCTGTTTACTTCAGTCAGCAACCACATTATACCTACTTGTGTTTATCAGAAGTCGGCCTTCCTGCAGAGACCACAAGCATAAAGACAATAACAACAGAAGAGCTACTCATTCTTGCCGGCACTAACAAATGGCTTGCGTATTGAGGGAAACAGCCCCCAGGAGGCAGCTTAGCTTAAAGCAGCGGTGGTGGGTATGCAGGCGGGATAGTCGAGGAAACAGATGAAGACACAAACCTTTTAGAAAAATACCTGGTCAGGAACTGACAATGTTTAATTGATGGTTTCTGTTGCATCCCCTTTTAGGCTTGGCCTGTCTTTAGGAATGGTGTCTATGTGTTCAGGCTACTGCGGAGCTGGGCACAGAGACTGTCCACCACCCAAGCTTGTAGCAGGCTGCACGTAGACAGCCTAAGATTTTCCACATTCTCTCAGAGAGAAAGAAAGAAAACCCTAGTAAAACTTCCAGGAATCACGCTTCTTTAAAATTAGCTCCTGACAAGTGTGTCAAACGGCCTGCATGAGAGGCACTTCATTATCCATGACAGTGCGAAAGGTAACTTTCCTTATCAACTTAAGGGCGAAAACACAACTTGCACAGAGCAGCCATCAGGTCCTGAGGCAGACTTTCAATAATGATAAAAACAAGTAACTTCTGCTCTACTGACTGTCATAAAACCTTGCTTTGTATCCAAAATGGATAACATTTTGTGCAGCCTTCACATTTTGTGTTATACAACACCCATGTGTGTCTTTGGAGATGTTAAAAATCTAAGGACAAAATTAATGACCTAAGAAGGTCTAAAAGGGTGCTCCTGAGAGCTGAAGACAATCTGAGGAAGAAAGGCAAGGTGTGTGAGGCCCCCAAACTGCCCTCTGGTATGGCCTGCATGAGGCCCTCGTCACTGCACCATGGGAGAGGGACGGAGCGGCTCTGGCTGTGCACCGCAGGGATAGCAGCTGTGGGCAGCTCAGAGAACCAAATGCTGGTATGTGTAGTCTCTCCCACACTCAGCACCCCTCCCCAATTTTGGCCATGTGAAGGTATCACAATAGTTATAAGAAAACAGCATATTTGGGGTTAAGACAGGCCACTGAGGCCACCATGCCCAACTACTGAGGGTTTTCTCCTGGAACACAACCACCCCAAGCTGGCCTGACCGCAGAACTGTAAACCTAAGGCTATGAGCACCTTTACTGCCACTCACACAGAGACCTCGAGACAGTGATGGGAAATGGGTCACAAAACTTTCTCCTGAAAAGAAATTTATTTCATTTATAAGTGGAGTGATTCGTTTTGAAAACTGAAAAATTCAGGAAAGTATATATATTTTCTGACTTTTAACCTACTGTGATCACTTCAGAAACACCAAAAGGTACTTCTAAAAACCCATCCAGCTGCAGCTCCCCGATAGGCGGGGTCAGAGCCAGATGCTCAGAGATACTACCTGTACAGGGCTCCACAGCTGGGCTCTGAGAAAGCAAGGGCTATTCTCTATGGCTCCACCAGCCAATACACATCCCTAAACTATCCTCCTCCAGTCACCTCCTCAATGTCCACCCTCAGCTTTCATCTGAGAGAAACACTTGAACCAGAAGCAGTTAAGACACCCAGACGCCAGCCAGCATCCTCATTTCACACTGCGGTCCATGGTGCAGGGCAGCATCCAGCTCAGTACAGATCTTCCACGATGTGGGATGAAACTGCTATCTGCCTCAGGCCTAAAGATCTCAATGATCACCACATGAATAAATGATGCCTAATAATACGTTCCTCCACCCACACTAAAGCTGGAAGATGCATTAAACCTCTATGCAATCAATCCCGAGTGTAAGTTAAAGACATGTAGTATCAGAGTATTCAAAAGCTACACTGTGTGGTTTAAATCACTGTATGGCTGGGCTGAGTCTTGGCTCACCCACCACATTTCCAGGCTCTGGCCTAGAGTATGTCATACTGAGTCACCAGAAAACAATCGTATGCGTGAACTAGCTGGCAGCCCACAAAACACTGCCACTGGATAAGAGCATGACAGATTCCATACGTAAACTGAAGCCGAGCACAGTGCATGGTGTCAGGGAGAGGGACTATGCCTGTGCTCAGTACACAGACAGGCTGAGCTGGCTGACATTGAGGCAACCTGTACACTCACACCCTAAACCTGACCTTTCCACATCCTTGTGGGATAAAGTCCGACTTAGATCTAGTAGGAAAGTGTTCTGGGTTAGCGTTAGGTTACTAGTAAAGTGTCCTGCCTCTCCATAAAGAAGCTACCATGTGAAACTGCCTACGAACAGCAGGAGGGTCTAAATACACAGGCACTGAAGAGGGGCAAGCAGAGAGGCCTGTCACCAGACACTTGCAGCAGAAGACAGGGCAGCAACATGAGCCCTAGAAAGCTAAACATCCCGCCCTTGGCCCCTCCCAAGTCACTCATTCAGCAGGACACCATAAGCAGAAGCTATAACCTCATCACTAAAGAAGGAAGACAAAAGCCAAAACCAGGTGCTTTCAAAGAAGGCAGGTGGCAGACCTGATAGGCTGGCCTCATGGAATTCAACAGTACAGAATGCCTGGGAGATGTCTCTGAGCAGAAGCAAACAATGGAAGCCACCAAGAACAGACTGGACATTGGGACACGAGACACCGACAAGCACCACCACCTCTAATACTGGCTCCAGAGTCCTGCAATTACCTGGTTCAGGTGCCCAGACTGAGTCCTGGGTGTGTGACCTCAGCATATGGTTGGTAAGAACCTGATCACATGGCAAAGACTTGGCTTGGGACCACAGAGACATGTTGGTCCTCCCTAGTCTTGGAGGATTCGAATCTAATTATAAAGGAAAGACGTCCCAACTCCATGTAATACTTGCAGTGGGACCCTATATGTGTAAGTAACGTGCCACACAAACGCCATAGTAATAAGACAAGAAAGTTGGAGTGAAGCAGCACAGGGACCAGAATAGGTGACATATCCAACCAAAGGTCTGACAAATCTGGTTCCATATCTCAGTTCCCATAAAAAAGACTTCAGGGTGTGCAGCTTTGTCCCAGGACAAAGCAGAAACCACATTTGAGGGGCAGGGGCTGCAAAGGCTGAGATGACAGTTCAGAACACAGATCTAAGTGCATCAACAGCATGTAACCAGGTAGCCAAAAGGCAAAACACACACTTCGCCAGGAAGGAACAGCAAACAGTAGGAATACAGCCACACAGATACAAGGCTAGTGCCCATGGAGACACACTGGTCAATGAGCCCACGCAGGCTTGCACCTTAATGCTATGTTGCTTCTGACAGCATGTTCCGGAGTGAGCTGAAATGAGGATTAGGCATAATTTCCATATTTACATCCTTTGCTGGAAGTCTAAGCTTTGGAAGGAAGCAGCAGTAAGAACCTAACATTTAACAGGAAGAAAGCAATCAAAGACCTACTTCCTCTTGGACCCTGAAACACCCACAGCAGGCAGGTTTTCTCCCTGGTCTGCCTTCATGGGAGAATCTAATCTGGAAACTCACTGTTTTGGACTGTGGTACTTCATATCCGAAAATGACTACTTAATTAGCTCACTGAGCTAAAAGAACACACATGCAGAAAACAGAAGTGGGGAGCATGCATGTCCTCCAAGTCTCCTCACAATGTGATTCACTGTGGATGCGCACAGAGCACAGTCACCTGTGCTCCGGGAGCTGACAGGACCATGCTCACAAAGAAACAGCAGGGTCTGTTTCAAGATTATAAGCTTTAGCTTACAAATAATTGCCTGCTGTAACTCAGTGTCATCCCGAGGGACAGCACAGATGGCTTTCAGAACTCTACCTTGAGTGATAAGCACCAAGGTCTCTAACTAGAATCATGGCCTTTGGAGCCAAAGGAACCTCACTCTCAACTCACCTGGCCTGCTCCCACCTCTTACTCATGGGGAAAGGGCCCAGCAGGGCTGAGCTCTGTGCCCGAGATCATGCAGTTAGCACCCCCAGAACCCAAAATGGTCTCATCTAAACCAGTTGCAAACCTGAACTGGACCTGGGGCAAAAGCTCACTCACCAGGACCTGTACCAGCAACTTAGGGCTTCAGGAACATCCTTCTCTTCAACCCCAAGGAACCTGTGCTAAAAGGAAAGAAAGCAGGAAAAGACAGACAACACTAGGAAAAGAGAGAAGAAAGGGGGTGGAAGGGATGAAAGCACATCCAAGTTATGATTCATGCACTTCTTCACTTTTCAGGTCCAAGTTTCCAAAATTTCTGAAGAACAGAGTTCACAGGGCCTTCTATGGAACCCACTGACAAAGTCGGGCAAGTGCCAGAGATATCGGCCCAGAGAGGCCCCCAGACCTAGCTGCACGGTGAAACCTGCACAGCTGCCTGCCCGGGACAACTGAACTGCCCCCTCCTGGAAGGCATGGGTATGCAGGTCAGATCAGGCATAGTCAACCAGCGGGGACTCAAATAATGTGGACCAAAGCAATTTCTGTGACAACTCCCATGTAATCTATGGGATGAAAGAGCCAAAGCAAAACTTTCAGACACTGAAGAAGAAGGCGACTCCACCCTTTCCATGATAGAAGTATATATTACAGTAGAGGCTGATGCATGAAACTCTGGGGCTTGGCCCTCGCAACCCTCACAACCCCGGCTTCGTCTGGAAGGTCGTCCAGAAGGATGTCCGGAAAGTTGTTCGGCTGTCCGGTCTAATTAGCATATTACACTTTTATTATTATAGATAATTACA